GTGGATGTATAAGAGACTAGTGCCAAGTCGAACAACAGTCACTTCTGAGTTTATAGAAGGTGTGCGTGGATTTATAGAGTTTGCATTAATGCAACCTGATTTTGTTTCTAATGGAAGTATAAGGTGCCCTTGTTCAAAATGTAAAAACAGTAGTGGGTTTCTTGAACCTCATGATATTAGATCTCATTTATACAAGCATGGTTTCATGCCCAACTATCATCAATGGGAATCACATGGGGAGTCTTTTGTACCAATTTCTAGGCCTCAACCTAGTACCAATACAGGTGATGAAATAGGTGCTAATAGAACACCAATAAATCCATATCGTACTATGGTCTTGGATGCAGCTGGTCCTAGTTTCAACTTAGACAATGATGTATTTGATAAGGATCTTGATGAAGAAGAACCTCCTAATCAAAATGCTCAAGAATTTTTTGAAATGTTGAAATGTTGAAATGTTGAAAGCTGCAGACAAGATACACTTGGTGGCATAAAATCCTTGAGAGTAAATGGAGATACGTAGTATACTTGTTAATGGGAAAATTATTTTGTCTTTAAAGGAGATTCCTCCATTTGGCCTGATATTGTCTTTTTGTGTGGAGTTGGAGGATGATTTCTCTAGCTTAATGTTTTTTTCTTTCAAGTGTTGTTGAAGTCATCTAGCATTTTCAGTAATGCTATTCATAGAATGTACTGATGTTTCAGTACTATCTTTTTGCTAATTATCAGACCCTTCCATATCACTTTCTAGAATTTTGACATAAACGGTAAGTTTCTTTTATATTGTGCTTTCCTTTTCAGCTAACTGCTTCAGACATTTTTAAGAAAAAAGAAAATACCAAAGTGGATTGCTCAAGTTCACTGGGACAGTTTGATGCAATATTGGAACTCTGACGGTTTTAAGAAAATATCAGCAATCAACTCAAAGAATAGAATGTCATCTAATAACGGAGAAGGTCCTTCCTTACATACTGGAGGATCAGTTGCATTTGCTGAGTACAGAAGATGACATGTAAGTAATTATTTATTTTTATTTAGTATTAATTAGTATTGGTCTTATGTTATTCTCTGATTTATGTTGATAATTAACAATATATTTAATGCTTGTAGAAGGAACTAACTGGTAAAGAGCTTCAGAATGATGAATTATTTCTAATGACTCACAAAACAAAAAATGACAAGAAGTGGATCTGTGGAAAGTCAGAAAGGTTGTGGGTATGTTTTTATCTCATTTCGTTAGTGACATTTATTCTGAAAGTTATTTTTTTTTAAATTTAAATCCGTGTGAATTGTTTTCTAAGAAGAAAAAAGAAATTGCCCTGTTAATGAGAATTTTTCTTTTTCTTTAATTCTTGGGCATAACGCAAGGAGAGTGATTTCACATTTGAAAGAACTTTAAGTATATTTGGTTGTTAGTTGTGGTGTTAGGGGCTATTTATTCCCATTATGTTCCAGATTAACCAGTTCATTAAAGAGAGAGGTGCACCCTCCCATCAGGAGGTTTCTAAGTCTATCTTCTCGCTTCATTTCCCCGAGACAGTGAACAGAAAACATTAGCCATATTCACTGTTGTCCATGTTTGTAGTTTCCTCTAATAGGTACCTAACTGCACCAACTTTGTGTATGATAAACCACTTTGCCAGTTATCCACGCCAATGTAAGTGATTATCCTTTCTGGAATGTCACAACACTTTTCTTGTAACTTTTTATGCTTTTCCTCCCTTTGTTTCTGATGATGTATGCTCATTGCTTTGTGAGGTTCCTTATTTTGATCATGTTTGTTCATATCATGTGTACCATCTACATATGGAGGAGGCATGTATCTTTGTTTAGCCCTGGTCTAGGGATCCACTTTTGCACCTGATTTCTCCTGCCTCGTCTTGGCAAAAGAATTTCCACCATCATCAAAGCTGCATTTATGACCAATCTTTTACATTTCTTACATAATATGGGTTTCCAGTCATATTTAATATTTTGAACAAACGTCCTTCCAGTAGGATCAACAATTTCAACCTCTTCTGGCAAACCTTATGTTACATTTATTTTAACTAAGACTCTGGTATAGGATATTTTTTTCTGTTTAGCAGTACACACATCCGCAAAGAGTTGTTTCTCTAGATGGCTAGCAATTTTACTAAGAGTTTCCGCAACCCAATAGTTCAGGGCCAGTGAACAGGACTTCATCTTTATCGTTTTGGTTTTGGAATTTCACTATGTAGCAGCCTGCATCGTGGTAATATAACTCAGGTACAGAAACAAAATTTTAGCGCCAATCAATAACCATCCGAGGACCTTTTTGAAGTGCTTTTCTCAGCTCATGCACGACATCATCCTTCACCCAGCAGCTCTGAACACTTGCAACATAAATATAGAAACTAGAACTAACACCTGCACTATTTATTGCCCCCTTCGTACCTAATCCTTTATCCATGAATTTTACTCGAAGACCAGCACCCCAAAGAGAATTTCCCAGCATGATTTCCCTGGCTCTCACCACATCCATAACGTTTTGGTATTAAACCAAATCAAAACCTTTGAATGCAAAGAATGGAAATATATTTACTGGACCAAACATCTCAAACTTATGTCTGACAAGAACTTCAGATGAATCAGGGCCTAAAGACCCCAACCATAGTTGTTTTGAAGCGAAAAAGAAGTCTGCTGCAGCTGAGTCTCCATAAGTGTACCAAATCCCTTGATTTGTGGAAGAATGAGACAGTGGTAACTGCTGCATAGGTGACTCCATGGGACAGCTCATACGTCCTGCTATTGATCTTGAGGCTGGTAGAGGACGGTCCACATTAAGAATTCGGTGGTTCTCCATCATGACATAGTGTCCTCCATCAGATGAACTGTTTCTCAAATTCGATGGTGTTCTAGCAACAGGTGAAAGAATCTGCTAGTTATAGACCTCCATATGCACAGAAGGCCTAGTATTCATAAAATCTCCAGACTCTTTAGAATAAAAAAACTACAGACCTACGCTAATCGCTATTAGTATTTGAACTCATACTGGAGTGGTGAGTTGATTCCAGAGGAACTGCTGGGCTTCCAGTAACTTCATGTAGGAGAAAGTAGGTGCTTCACAACGTATACATCACTAGAGCATTATTCCATTCATCGGTTTGTTTTGCTATTTCTGGTGCCTCTAATACAATTACTGGTTGTCCAACAATTTTTTTCGGTGGGTTATAGGTTAAAGACATACCAGTGGACAGTTCAACATGAACAGGTTGTTCCAAACTTCTTTCCATCTGTATATTTCTTATTGAACTCATTATATTTTGTTAAGCCTGACTCTCATTCCACCTTAAGGTTTGAATAAGGAACCTATATAGTTTCAATATAGCATTTAGGAAAGATGTTCTTGTATTAGTTCAAATATATATTTCATTGTTTACTTCATCAATTACAGTATTCTATTCCTTTAATTATATAAGTTTATTTCTTGCTGTCCATTTATTCTATTACAGAATAAATTTGAGTACTTTCATAGAACCTTTTGCAACTTGATAGCTTTGTTACACAATGTAATAGCTAATCACTTTATTCTT